TTAAGGAAATGGAAAACAGAAAGGAAATACAACAAGCACAGAAAGCACCAAAACCAAAAAAAAACAAAAAACAACTTTTTGGTGAACTATGGTGGCTGCTGAAAAAATTAGTTTTTTGTGTTTTCCTAGGAAAAATTTGGTTTTTCCAAGAAAAACCAACTTTTCCTTAGGAAAAAGTTGGTTTTTGGACGTCGTGGGCTCCAAAAACCAACTTTTTCCTAGGAAAAAGTTGGTTTTTGCAATGCATGGCCTTTAATTCTTTTTGGAAAACCAACTTTTTCCTAGGAAAAGTTGGTTTCTGAAGCTCAGGCCTTTGAAAAACATTTGTTTTCCTAAGGAAAAGTTGGTTTTTCTTGGAAAACCCAACTTTTTTCCTAGGAAAACCCAAAAAAAAAACTTTTTCAGCAGCCACCATAGTTCCACAAAAAGTTGTTGTTTTTTGTTTTTTTGGTTTGCCTTAGTTTTTGGTCAGTCCCAACAGAGAAGTGGCCTCAGAAGATGATCACTATACTTGAAGGATTCCAAAACTTCGGTATTAATTCAAATAGTTGTATGTAGAGGCTTTATGTAAACAAGCATCCAGACTAATTCTAATTAAATTCTATAAGGGGTTCAAATGAATCAGAACCCATTCCAAAACCAGGAACCTAGGATTCCATGATTTTCGTATTAGATCTAATTGAATTTAATAAGGGATTGATATGAACAGTGGCTTCTGGTTTAATTCCCTTATTTAAGGAAATGGAAAACAGAAAGGATATACAGAAAGCACAGAAAGCACTATATGTACATGAACGAAACTGAGATACGATTTTCACCAAAAAAAGACCTCTTCGGTGGATCATGGGGGGGTGTGAGCTATGTATATATATATATACACATGTGCGTATGGATATGTATACGTTGTTATACACTTGTATATACATAGGCAGCGAGTTTAAGACTTGGCGTTTATAGACTCTAAAAGTATTTTGATCTGTATTCTTGGGACCCCTAAAAAAGGGGACCCTGATTTTGACTTGACTGCATACAAGAATGCCTCGCTCAAGACCTTCTCCAGCATCTCCTGTTGATTTCTCTGCACCTCGGAGCACCTGGCACTGAGGGCTTTAAGTGGTGTAGGGGCCTAGGAAGCTTCTGCAACGGCCCGGAAATGTACGTCAAAAAAAACAAATGCGTAGCGCTTATGAAATATTATGAGGACAGTACGGGGTCCTTCCGGACGACAGGCATCTGAAGACACAGGAATGAAGGTATGTGTACACACGCACACGCTAGCCGCGCCCAGGAAACTCATGGCGACGGACCAGAGAATCAAAACCCCCCTTCCCACCCGACCTCAGCCGCGCCATGAAGATACAATTACATAGGGGTTACACAAGGTTATGTTGGGGTATATGGTGGTAAGTATGGGTATATAGGAATAGTGAAGAAGAAAATGGAAAAGAAAATGGGAAATGAATCGGAAACAACTAAACGTTTGAGAAACACCCGAAGCAGTGCCGACTCCTGCCTGGAGATGCGTTGACAACTGACAAAGCACATCACGCCAATGTAGATGCTGACGAGAACGATGAAAACCTGAGGGGTAAGGTCGTCATCTCAAGAAGTACTGCCAGACCTCACAAGTAGAAACCGTGCCCGTAGATGGTAGTCTTCCCAGCCGGACCATTTGCAAGACTTCAAGTTGGAAAGCTGCAACCATGAAAAGCCAAGTCGCTATGGAGCCTGTGCTGAAACTTCCTCGACTAGCACATTGCCGGGATGCATCGACAACTAGCTGGATCAATCGCAATCAGGCCAGGAGCAGTTCCACAAATTAAAACAGCTTTACGGAAGGGATACCTAATCCCCGAGCGGCCATTGCTGCTCATCAAGCGCCTCTGTTGAATCGTTCGACTAGTGGCTAAGGTCATTGGGAGCCTTCTCTGTCATCCAGTGAAGTCGAGCAGGAGGAAGCAAAGCCAAGCGCTTCCAAACCAAGCTTCTCAGCGCAGGTAATTGCAGCCAGGAATCCATCAAGAACAGAGACTCCGGCCACGAAGGTAGCCGCATCAATCAGGCAGGAGCACGCCAGCAACACGAGACAGCCTGGGACGGACCCAAGGGTCAATGGTTCGAAAATGTCCAGACTTCTCCAAAAAGGTATTTATCAAAAGGCACCCCCCCCGGGTTACTTAGACCCCTAAAGAAATGGAGAATCATTGGAACCTCAAAAAAACAGAAAACCACAATCTGATTTTGAACAAGCCAAGATGCGTGAAAACCGGCGTCCAGTGAGAGCTAGAAGCTTGAACCCCACGGAGTGCCTTCATGGAGCTTGCCGGCTAAAAAAAAGTGAGTCCCCAAAGGAGGATTCTGCTATAATATCCTATATTCATACTGTAAATACCATGCTATAAAATACTATACTATTGTGTTGTGTATAATTTGGATCCCTCTTTGGAAAACGGGGTTTTGAAGGGTTGCCATGCTGCGGCCAAGCATCCATGTCAAGTTCATTGCCCGCTGTGTGACGTCCGCTACAGTAAGCGGGAGGAACAGAAACCTTGGCAGTTCAGGCAGCAAGGCAGAACTTACAACTGAATCTCTTAGCTCAGGCTGAGTTCTTATCTTTCGGCGCCCTTCGGAATGAATTCGGTATGCAGATCTCAAACATGTCGGACCTCTACTACCAGAAGTGCTGTTCTTGTCTTGCCACAATCACATCAAGAAGGCATTTGGACCCCTGCAAACTCTGGATGGGTGTCGCATCCTGTGTACATGCCTGACATCAGACGTTCAGGCCTTTTGCAAAACTTTTCAGACGGCATCCTGCAAATCTACGTCAGCACCATCCATTTCCGCTTATGTATGTGGCGTATCCCAAGTGTAACTTGGCAATTCAGGGTAGATACCGGGCCCTCATGTTGAGCCTGTTGTAGCTGTCTGACCAAGGCACATGCCATTGAGAATAAGCACCTGCAGGGTACTTCCACGACAGCTTCAGGTTGCATGCTGCGCTACATCGCCCGCACTGCGCACAAAATCCCAGAAAGTAATTCCCCTCTTTGCTTAGGGGTATTCCAACTTAGCCCATTCCCTACTCTAGAATCCCGCTCTTTTCCATGTATACACAATGCTTAGCTCGGACACTAGGATTCCCCCATGCACCTGAGACATCAGTCACCCTGCTAGAAAGAGCCAACATTTCGCATGCACAACTTGGAGAAGACTCCTGAACCAGAAGCTCCATGTGACGCATCCCGCAAAGTCCCTCATATGCCGCCACAAGCCCCCTGAACCCTACCCAAGATGCTCCACAACACTAACTTGAATATGCATGCACACAATGGCCACGTGCACCTGTAGCATGAAAAAGCGCTCGAGGCAGTCCTTGGCCGAAACTGTCTAGGCTTGAGGGAGATAAGGGTATATAGGGATACATAGGGATATACGGGGATATATAGTGATATATAGGGCATCCTTAGGAAATCTACTGGCAGGTTTAGGGTTTAGGGTGTTGTGTCCTGAGGAATTCTACTGGGAGGTTCAGGGTATAGGGTTCAGGGCAATTCTGACCCGATTAGAATCTGTACTTAAAGCTTATAACTGACTTACCCCCCGCATCCCCTGATATGGTTCTAAATGGATCAGAAGTATCAAGTATAATTGGTCACATAACTACCCTGGGCCTCCGAGTAGGCCTATGTATGCAAAGGGATGACTAAGGCTTGTCAAGGACTGCGTGTAAGTTCTTCCGAGAAATTCATACCCCTCTCCTTCACCCCTGAAAACTGCTGAGGACTGCAAAGAACGTGGCTTCTGCACGTAGCAGCTTTTGTTGCTTCCGGAAAGTTGAGGTGCATGGGGTACCTGGGGGCTAAAGGGTATAGGTGCGCCCTGCGATTTTGCACTTCAGCATCCATGCCATAAGTAGAGATCTGCGTCAGAATCAAGTTCTGTAAGGTGGTAGCGCATTACACAACTGCTAGTTACAAGAAAATTGATATGACTGTTCGGTCAACGATTCTATTACTCTCCGAAGCTGTACCTGCGTCCCAACAAGCTCCCAACAAGTATAACTTGGAGTGGGGTCTAACTTATCATTTACCCTCAAGATTACTAAAAACACAGAGGCGCAGGTATACCCTTGAACCAGATAGTCATATGTTTGGGTAATAGAGGGGAGCTCCGACTTTTGGAGCTACGCAGTTTAGTACCCAAACCCGCCAACCCCAGAACCCCACAAAACGGAAGCTTCCATGTCGTTTCCCTCATTATCTTCCATAGTCCTTCTCGTTTGCGGGATCCACTCCCTGAACCCTAGACCCTCATCCCCTCTATATCCTAAAGCCTACACCCTAAACCCTCAAACCTAAACCCTAAACCCCATTGAATAGTAGTTTCCATTTTCTTTTCCATTATCCCAGTATAACCCTATATAACCCTAAATACCCCTATATTATCCCAATATTATCCCAACATTATGTTGGTCCAAGTCTCGAAGCTGACCTTGGGATAGAAGCACAAGGTTGAGATAGAAGCGATGAAGCACCTGACCAGTTTCCGGTTAGATCGTGTGAAATGGGGGGATTTGGGGTTTAGGCTCCTGTGGGAGCTCCCATACAAAGGATTAAACTGTCTGGGGCGGTACAACGGATACCCTTTTGTTTAGGACAGTCTCAGATCTAAGCTCACGCAGGCACTCTGCCAACAGGAGGCGGCAAAGGTGCTCTTCAACACCCCTGGAAACAGGATCTGTCATATAATATTGCAACCGAAGAAAGGCACGTCATTCTGGCACTCACCTTGTAATCCCTTTGGGCAGGGAAGGAGGAGGGTGAGGGCACAATCCCGCAATCATCCAGAACCGCGCTTAGGCTGCCACACTCCATTGACCGCAAGGGTAGCCGCCACAGCGTCCAAGTTCTCCTCTTCGAGCTGAAAAAGGGCACCTGGTTCCAGGATTGCAGGGTCACTTGTAACACTGGTTTAAGGGTTTGGGGTTTAAGGGTTTCGGGTTTTGGGTTTTGGGTTCGGGGTTTAGGGTTTAATGGTTTTTGGTTTAAGGGCTTAGGGTTGAGGGTTTGCAGGAAGGGTCAGAATCATAACAGTTAGCGTACAGGAAGGACAACAGTGACGGTGACAATGAAAGAATGCAAGGACTAAAGCACAACTTCTAAGGATGAATACGCAGACCCCTCGGAAGATCTAGAAACTAGATTCCCCCTTAAAGGTTGCCAGAAATTCCCAAAGAGTAGTGTTAGAGTACCATATTGGAGGCTTGACTTTCTAGATCCTCCCAGGGGTCTGAGTAAATACGATTCTATCCCCACTGGGAACGACTAGAGGCTATTCTGAGGCGAGCAAGTGTGCTAATGAGGACTGGTAAGACCCTCCAAAGACCCGGGACATGATGTAGGTGTTGCAGGGGCTATATGGGATCATATAGATATATATATATATATGGGGTTTTGGGATCTTCCTTAGAATAATGGAGAATCAAGTGGAAAA